GAACAACTCATACAACTCCAAGGCACTTCACCAGAGACTCAATTCTCTTTTGTCATTTCATGTAGAATTTTTCTGTATATTTATCATAATTAAGAGTTTCCTTAAAACACTATCTCCACAACACTATTAAAGAGAACACAGCCTACAACTAATACATTTAAAATATAAGGACTCACATTAAGTTGAAAGTAAAGAGGTGAAGAAAAATATACCATGATAACACTGATAAACTTAAGGCTGGAGCAGTATATTCTTTCCCAACAAAAATCAGAAGTATGAAAGAGAAGAGGGGCATAAAATAACAATGAAAGTGTCAATTCTCAAAAAAAATTGTAAACCTTTATGCACCTAACAGAAAACCAAAATATAAAAAGAAAAACAGAACTGAAAAGAGGCACAGACAGACCACTATTAAAATTTCATATTTTAGTGTCTGGTTCTTTTTTTCAGCAACTGATAGACCAAGCAGGTAAAATACTAGTAAGGATAAAGTTGACCTGAAAAGTAGCTATTAATCAACTGGTATAATTGACACTTAAAGAATTTTCTATCCTACAAATAGCAGGATACACATTTTTTTTCCCTAAGGCTCACGTGGACTACTGAATAGGACAGATCACATTCTGGCCATAAAACACTAATTTAAGAGAACATAAATCATCCAAAGTATGTTCACAGGATGCAATGGAATCATTAATTAATAACCTTCCAAAACAGAAGCAATAAACCAGGTGATTTCACTTGTGATTCTGTCACACATTTAATGAAGAAATTTTAGCAGCATTCTGCAGGCTCATCCAGAAGACTTCAGAATCATGGGGAACACTTTTGGGGAATGCTCATTAAGATAAGCATTATCTTAATAACAAAACAGGTAAAGATATTACAAGAAAGGAAAACTAGAGACCAGTATCTTTCATCAGAAAGCATGCAAAATTCCTCAGCAAAGCATCAGCAAATGAGATCTAACAGTACATAAAAATAATTGTACAACCAAGTGAGATTTGCCTCAGGTAGGCAGGACTATTTTAACATTCAAAAATCAATTCAAGTTAATCCATCACAGCAAGAGACTAATAAGAAAATTCATGTGATGAGGCCAATTTATGCTGAAGAAGCATTTCACAAAATCTGGCACCTATTTATTATAAAACTTTCAACAAAGTAGATGTACAAGAGAGCTTCCTTAACCTGATAAAGATGATCACTTCATAAAGGTACAAAACTGCGGTGCTGTCGGGCAAGTGTAAGAGTGAGCATATTTCCTTACTTATCTCCGGTGGGTTCTGGAGGGTGAACGCCAAGTTGTCTTACTGACAAGTGGAAAGTCTCACCTTGTTTTCTGTGCTACCACTTCTAAGTGCTGTGAGACACTTCCATTCTTAAGGATAGCTCTGCATGGCTCATAATAACAATAGTAATAATAATAATTACTAGTAATACCTAATATTTATTTAACATTTATTGAGAAACACTGTGATAAGCAGTTTGTGGATTATTTCAATCAAAATAATTCTGTGATTTACTTTTGATTCCCAATTGTAGCTGAAGATGCAAAATACAGAAAGCAACCTGACTAGAGCTATAAACTGAGTGGAAGAGTCAGGATTCGAGCCTACATAATCTGACTCCAAAAGCAACCCTCCTCTCCAGTGCTGAACTGCCTCTCAGGCAGGTGGGAGGTGAGTAGGGCTAGAAAAGTAAAATCTCTCAATTAATTCTGCTGAAATCCAAGGCTTTCTCCCCTTAATAAGAATTCCTGGTATAGACCTTGGATCTCTGCATCAGAGCATCAAAAGACCAATTACAGAATTTTAGAAATTTCTGCCTTTTCAGATAGTCTATTTTCAGAACATGAAGGCAGGATTTACCATACATTAAAACCATTGCTTTTTTTCCTCTATCCAATTCTATCACACTTTTGATAACTGTTACCTTTTCCCACATCCTGGCATTAGA